CAGTTAATATAATATGTATATCACATAATTTCTTTAGATTGAAATAGATATAGAACCTACAGACAAGGTAGAGAGAATTAAAGAAAGAGTGGAAGAGAAGGAAGGAATACCACCACAGCAACAGCGATTAATATTTTCTGGCAAGCAGATGTATGTATAAGCATTATTGTAATTGTTGAAACGTAATCACAAAGTTGCATGAGACAAAGTTTTTATAACTCAAAAATTCTAGATTTGTTTGCATTAATTGCAGTTTTAATATTTTAATTTTATCATATATTCACTTTTATGTGAAACTCTTTAAAACACAGTGTTATGCATAATCCGACATTATAATTAATGCAATGGTGACACGTCTCTTTCCTAAAATCCTTTAATACACATACATTGTATTTTTTCATGGCAGAGGTCTTAACTCCCTAGATTGAAAGTATATATTCTGGATAGTAAATATATTATGATTCATTCTTTCTTTTGTGTTTTTTTTAACAGTAACATCTATGCATTATTCTCAATGCGTACATGTGATTGAATTTCTGTTGAATAAAAATATAAATAAATAATTATATATTAAAAATCACCCTCATTAATTTTTTAAACAAAAGATAGGATATAAGATTTGAAATAGAAATAAAAAAATAAATTTGGGAAAAAAAGTGTTTTTATGTAATTATTGATACATGATCGATTAATGATAAAATATAGAATATCGAAGACGATGTGAGTTTATGATTTTTGTTTCAGGAATGACGAGAAAACAGCACAAGATTATAAAGTTCAGGGTGGTTCGGTGTTGCATTTGGTACTTGCGTTGAGAGGAGGCTGTAGATATAACATTCCTCATTTATAAACAATGGCCGGAGAGGATATTGAAGAATTGTGAGAGCATAAGAAAGAAATAAAATAAATTTTTATCATCATGCATATGCGCTCAAGGAGAACAAAGTCTATGTTATTTTAGATGAAATAACATAGTCGTGTGATCTACAACCTAAATAAATATTTAATAAAGTAATTTAATCATGAGTATGACAGATGTGTCTTTATTTAGAAATAATTTCTCATTTATGAAGGAAATTTATGTATTAATTTTCATTATAATAAAATCAAATAAAAATAAAAAACAAATAATTTTATATTTAAAAAGAAAAGCGTCATGTTCAAACTAATCTATTTAAAATATAATAGAATAAATACAAATTATAGCATGCAAATTACATCTGAAAAATATCAAAAAATAATTTTTTAGTAAAAAAAAGCTGCGGATCTGAACTCTGGAAAATTAAAATAAGGATTTTTATGTATAATTCATATTTCAATAAATGTCTACGTTACGTTTGAAAACTAACACATTAATTACAATTTCTGCAATTCAGTCTCATCTTTATAAATAATTATGTAAATCACAATTATAAATGGGCAATTTATGTATGTTTTTAAGAAAATTAAAAAAGAAACAATAAATTAAATCATTATCATTTCGCATAAGGATAAATTCTCCTTCCTTTCTCGGTATTCCTTTATCACTTTAATAACTCAATAAAGCTTAAGATAATTTCATAATTTATTAATCGTAATAATACATAATAATAATAATAATAATACAATAAATTTTATGATTATTCTATCAAATCTTTCTAATAAAGTCTAAAAAAGTTTTGTCTAACAGTTTAGGAAAAACTGGATAAAGAGAGGGACGTAAGGACCGGAGAAATAAAGCGCTTTATTAATCTTACCGATGGAACTTATGGAATCGCTGCCGATTTATTATTAATACTATACGTATTATGCGAGGCACGTTATTGATGCATGATTACAGGCGCATCTCGCGACCCTCGTGGAGATCAGTTTCTGTGATATCTGCTGTTGTGCGTCGCCCGACTCCACTTGGTCTTGAAGACACGTTGGCAGATGTGACAGTAGACCGCGGAGTTGGGCGAGTCCTCGTGTTTGGACGTGATGTGTCGCAGAAGGGCGTGCTGCGTCGTGAACGTGACGCCGCACTTGTCGCAGTACGTGTGGACGCTCCTGACGCTCGCCATCGCCGTCTTTGACTCTACAAATGCATTCCTCAATTTACCCAACTGCAGCCTCTACTCTAGACCAGCGTTCCCGCCGCTATCCTTAGGTACTCTATAAACATCGGACCCAAGATAACGATATCGGCAAAACGCGTCTACGAACGAGCCCTCCGTTGAATCGCAGGAAACTCTGAGAGTTTCGGCAAGCTGAATGCCGAACAAAATATCAGAACCTTGTTCCTTCATTAGCTTCAAGTGAGCTTTCGATAAAGAAAAGACTAATAAGCGAAAATTCTGTAATAATTAATGTGAGAGAATTGAAGAGATATATTTTTTTTTTTCCTCGATAATGTTAGAACTGCGCGGTAGATATTACATTTAATGGGAAGGAATGATGGATCAATTAATATCAATTGATTTCTCTGAATGGATATTATACAAATAGCGATATTAGCTTGCACGAGGATTAGGTAACGTCTCTGTTAATGAAATACAACAGGAAATATCGGTGTATATTCCTGCAGATTAATAATTAGTTTTGCTAGTCACGCTTGCTTCTTTTTGTAAGTTGTATCGTTTCATCAACAGTTCGTTTGGAAATTTTATCGCGCACTTACAAATGTCTTAGTAATCCATAACTCATTCCGTGTGCTAATTTAATAATGTAAAATAAGAAGCAATTTCTATTACCTGCTGGCCATAAAAAGATTCCATAAAAGTCCCAGCTGATCATCGTTATCTTCGCCGACTCGAACTTATGACTCGAACTTTTTCGACGCCATCATTTAAAATCATAAATTAAAAAGTGGACCAAAGAACTAAAGAAATCGATTACTATTTTCCATCCAAAAAAGGGAAGATAATGCGATTAAATAATAAATTAAGATCATAAAATAACTTTATTTATTGCAATTAAACAAAGTGAAACTGATAATTGAAAAATTTGAGGGGGAAAATAATGGAGGAGGAAGTCATTATGGTTCTTCTGAAAATAATCAATTAACACATTAGGGAAACGCAACGCAATGAAAACTATCAAGTATTAATTTTACGGTACACGAGTATCCATCAGAAATTCTTTTATTTACATTACTGCGATAACATTTGAAAGCGTAGTCTTACACGATCTTTTAATTAAGTTACAAGCTCACAATTATGATACCGAACATAACACGTACCTGAATAGAGAACGCAATAATTTCGTGCTACCAATAGTGTCTCACGATATCTACAGTTAATTTCTAAACTCGCTGCGAGATTCTACGCGCATCCGCTGTAGAAATTTAATTAACCCTTCAATTAACCCTTCCGGGCCGAGACGGACTTACTTTTGTTTCGTTACTTTGAAACCACTTTTTTGCGATCCTCGTTTGAACACTACGGTAGATTCGGTCGACCGGAAATTTTGAAATTGTATGTTAAAAATGCGCCTCGAAGGATTAAACAGCTTTTTACGACAACGCGTTTTCGATTTCGTACCGCAGCATACAGAACATATTCTACTAATAACTTTTTAGAATCAATAAAGACGAATGAACTTTGTAAGAGAAAACAAAATGTAAAATTCGCTCCCTTCATGTTCAAAAATTTATTAAATTATATTAAATCATAGTAATAAAATATGAGCGTCCGATGCAGTATTAATATTAATTTTCTTTGAAAAACTATTTATCTCGTATACCTTTATTGATCCTAAAAATGTATGAGTGGAAAATTTTGTATCCTGTACGCTATATATATAAGTATATCCACGTCTACATATTCTTTATCAGAACTAAATTCTGCAAATTGTTACATCTCTTTTTCTATGATACTAATTACCTGAATCTTTGCATCAAAACTTCAACTTCGAACACGTCTATACACAGACAGAGCCACGATTATGGTATGTTCTTATTAAAACCGAAGAGTTGCATGTTTATTTTACTGCAATTTATGCAAACTGTATCTTAGGTGCCCCGATGATTTTATCCCCATCGATCATTTTATTTTTATTTCCGTTTATCTTTGCATGCCTCACATTACCAAAAGTACGACGCTTTTCTCCGTTGGCCAAAATTTTCTGCTGAAGTTCATTTGTCTTGATCTTTTATGCATCTTTTATTGTTCTCATGCGTTGTCGAGTTGTACAACTTTTCTTATCCTATCGCAATATTTATCACGATTTCTGTCGCAGAGATACTTAAACTTCACAAAATCTTATTACACAAAATTTCTTCACTTCTAATTGATTTCATCTTCATAAAATATGTTCAAAATTTATATCTGTACATATAATAATATTGATAAAATACATAATTTAATTTTTCTTTTATATCCAATATTTCTTCTATTGTCATAAAAATAATATTATCTTGAAAATAATAAAAAGTATACAAAAAAATTAAAATAATATCTTTTGTACACGTGAAAAATTGATATTTTTATATAATATAGATTGATACAGATTGACTTTTACAGAAAAACGTAAAAAAAATTAACACAATAATTCTTAATATAAGAAAATAATAGAAAAAAAATTAAATTTATTGTACATAAAAACTTTGTTGAATAATACTTCTAGACATAAAGTCAGTTGGATTTCTCAAAGTTTCAGGATCCTTGACAGTTTTCGCGATAGTCATGTACGGTCGTAGAGATATTTGTGTGCTTCCAACTAGCTTTGCATTAACCCATTAAGTGCCAACCATTATCACGTCGTTCTGGTTTAGGGCGTTAAAAACATATTTAACTGCGTTCCGCAGTGCGATTTTCTCTAAATGGCAATTAATGAGTTAAATGAGGCATCCACTTTTTAGACGCGACGACACGGATTTTTGCTACAATCAACAATTATGATTACGACCACTTATACCTACGAGTAAATAGTCAGGTGCACAAGTGCAATGTCACTCTCGAAAACGAAACGAAATGCAAACGCACGTTGTGCGCCGTATTCGGTTATTGTACTACTTGTTGCATAATACTCTTGAATGCGCTCGTTAAAATAAAGTATCCCCGCTTGCGCTATCGCTCCCGTGTATGTAGATATTATTTATTTAATAACAACAACAACGGTAACGATGACATCTTATATTCAGATCTGTCTTTGGATATATGTATATTGACGCACAGTTTGCAGACGTTCGAAATCAGCGTTTCCCATATTAATCTTTTAAAGATTATAGCAACGAAATAATAGCTACAAATAATATGACAAAATATGACACACATGTTAATATTTTGCAATCTTTGAAAAAAAAAAATATATGTATGTATTTTAGTATTTTAGTGTATGAAAGTTTGATTTCAGAGATTCTCACACTGAGTAATTAAGATGTAAATTAGATTAAGAATTTTACTCGAAAAAAAAAATGTCAAAAAATCAATAATAAGCAAAGAACAAATTAAATGAGATCATAATTATAATTAAATTATAATACGGATAATCGAGTCTAGTGAATATCAATTTTTAAATCTATATTTTTATTCTTCTTAAAAAATACGAGAATTAAAAAGAACGAGATTTCCCGCGAAGTTTAATTGAGAAACACTGCTTTCGCGCTTTTATACAAAGACAATGTTTACACGAGGCCGGTAACAGAATTAACAGCTACTTTCCGGATGCTTCGCACCACTAGATATATTCTTGTCTATGGTAAACATCTGGAGAAGTCAATGCGTAAAATGTAAAACCAGGTATTTGTGTATAAGGCACTGTCTATGCGCTGTCTCGACAGCTGAAGCTGAGGCTCGATGTACACTTAAAAGCTTCGCTATGTATGTTTTGAGAATTATTCTTTACATTCGGTCCTTCTATGTCAAAATCTCATCTTAAATTTCTTCAATTATAGATCCTGCATACGACTGCAGTAGAGAGACAATGGAATTATTTGTAATGATAGGAAAAAGGGATATAAGGGAAATAAGAACAATCGACTAATGTCTATTTTTTAATCAATGTAGTTTAAACTCGGTTTAACTTGTTTTTTTCTTTTTAGTTAGGAATCAGAAAAAGATAAAGGGATA